CTTAATAATTTAGATGATTTTATTAAGAATCTCTATTAATGTATATGGCTTTTGTTATGATATTTTTGAAATCCTTGAATAGATGACTTTTTTTTTTTTGGTTTATGGTTCATTATTAAATGAATAGAAATGAGGGATTTGTGAGATATCGATTCTAGTGTAGTATTGTGGTAGTTATATAAATAATATTTTTGCAAAGGATTCCTGAATTTATTTTTTAACTTATAATTTAATGTTCACACGCATATTTCGGTCTTCTTATGACTGGTTGTCCAACAAAATAGGAGAACACATGATTTTTTATTATGGATAAATATAAGTTTATTACTAATGATAAATAATTTTGTTTCTTTTGATAGTGTAAAAGTGCGTTTACAATTATTGACAAACTCCATTGGTTGAGTTATTGATAAATCAAAGAATTCTAAGTTAATTACAATGATTTTTCGAAGATAGATAAAAAAATTTTTTGGTGTATGGTTGGTTACTAAATGAATAAGAAATCACACTAATCTCCTATTAATATTGATAAATAAAATTCTATTGTAATTAACATTATGATAAGTATCATAATAAATTTTTCTAACTGATTTTCAATTTTTATGTTGTAATTATATTTGTAATTTTATCGTGCATATTCAAATAGTATTTATTAAAAATAAAACCTATTTAATAGAAACTTTTTTGAAGACATGTTGAATGGTCTGTTACCATGAGAATAAAAAATTGTAGTGGTCCATAATTGATATGAAGAATGAGATTGTTATCGCAATTATTATTAAAAAAATATTTTTTCCAAACAAATAAAAATGTATTTATACAGAAAGTCGTGTTATTAATTGTATCGCATGATTAACAATTGGTAGGTATAATTATTTTTATTTTTTATAAATATTAAAGTAGTATGTTAATCTACTTAATTACAAATGTAAAGTTACTATTTCAGATTATTCTATCAAGCTTTTTCAGTATATATAGATTTGATAGTGTAAGTAGACATTTTTTTTTTTTTAAATATAGTATGAGACCGCATTTTTTGTGAATTGTACTCTGGCCCTTGTTGTTTTTGTTTTTCAAATATTAAATATTTTGCTTTTAGATTTAACTTCATTTATATTATCAATATTTACATAACATATATTACATTTATTTCCTTTTTATACTTCAAATTTATTTTACATGCCATTATATTTGTATATTACAATTTTAAAAGATATTATGAGAGTTTAGGCAGCAATAAAAACATCTTTACAGATTATACAAACTTAAATTTTTGTTGTGTAACTAGTATAACTTTGACTTGTCAATTCTGTTTCTTTTATATATAATGCTATACAAATTAGCACATGAAATATTTATTTTTTGTTGTTTATAACTTTTAGTTGTTAATCTTTTTAAATAAATGTGCTAAAACTAGTGTACGGAATTTTTTTCTTAAAGATATATATTTGTTTGTATGTTTTATGTTTTTTTTCTCTAGAACGCGAAATTGTACTAGTAAGTATGGCTGTATCTATAATATTAAAAAATAAAAATATAGCTAAAAAAGCTGCAAAATTGCAATACTCATATATGTCCATATCTGATACTATATTCAATCCAATAATTTTAAATTTAGTTCATCAAATTGTAGATAATAAAAGAATATTCTAGAAAAAAGATTGGTTATAAATTCAAATAATGTATAATATTTCTAAAATATTTCTCAAAATTGATATAAGAAAATAAAATCTCAGAAAATCTAATATTTATTTTAATTTCTTCAACAATATTCTTCCGGTTGGATAATAATTTTAATGGTTTTTTTTTTAATAATTTTAATGGTTAGAGAGAAGTTATTGTTTGTTTGACAGTTACGACAATTGTAAATGAGCTTTTCGACTGGATATGTAACATCGTAAATATACTTTTGTTTAGTAATGTAAATGGGTCGGGTTGGGGGCAGATCTTGACAAACACGAACCCGACCCGCATGTAGTTTACCATACTCAAACTCGACCCATTACACGACTAGTGGTCTTTGGGTTCGGGTTCGGTTTTACCCTGCAGGTTAATGGATTTTTGTCGGGTAAACGGGTAATCGGAGTTCTTAAATTTAGGCTTTACTCAGTCCCGACCCGACCCACTCCATGTGAAAAAATAAAATAAAATACTTTAACAATTAATAATAATGTAACAAATAATTTACTAACTAAGTTTTACAATAAGAAAATATAAATAAAAATATATATATTATTTTTGGGATAAATAATAAGATATAGTTATTTTTCTTTTGAAGTCTAGTTAATAATATAATTTTCAAAACTTAAGTACTTAAATATTTTATTTTACAATTATAAAAAAATGATAAACAAAATAGTTAAAAATAAAATAAAATTTAACAATTAACCAAAATTATAACTGACTACTTTTATATTTATAATGAGCTATATATATATATATATATATATATATATATAGAGAGAGAGAGAGAGA